ACTTCGGACACTTCTATCACCTCTCACCGAAAGTCCGAGTCTACAACACTGTTCTTTCATGGCTGCGAGACCTGGCCACTTCGTGAGAGCGATACCTGAAGGTTGTCTGCTTTCTACCACTGCTGCCTCCGGATCATCGATGGCGCTTAAGGTCCAGATTTTCAAGCCAGACTCTGACTTCGCTAACTTGTTCAGCAGTTGACCCGTCAAACATTTTTATTCATTTGTCGGAAAGGTGCCAAAATACAAGTTCGGTCCGGAGTGTCAAGGCACAGATATTATAGCTGGCTACAGGAGGACATTCCGAAAGCCAGGGTTGCGAGCCCAAGGAGAGAGAGCACGCATAGCTCTGGACGCCGAGTATCGCACAAAAGGGAAAATACTCAAAGAGAGACCCTCTCTGAACAAACTTTCTCTCCAGCTTTCTAGTGTTTACTCACGTGCTATGACAGTCGGTCAAACGTAGATTGAAAAGCATAATAAAAAGACGAAAGCTAGTATATGCATGCAACCCGTAGGGACTCCACAATACGATTATCGATAACCGATATGTATATTTAAACCGAAAATTGAATGCAGAGTGAACCCCAGAAAATCAGCATCAAAATCCAGAACAACATTAAGCTCGCGAATAACACATTCGAACGGAGAGGACAGGCTCTCTCTGGCTTACTGCAATGCCCTCGGCAAACCGAAGAAACCTTTGGCTAGGATGACGCACCGCAACAGAGAAAGCTGAGCCTTACCCAATGACCAGCAATCACATACACACACATGTGCGCGTGTGCGTGAGAAACACCACCTCAGCACCAGGTGCACATAGGGGGAGGTTTTGCACTATCTGATCGCCTCAATGGCCAGCTGGCGGGTGAACTAACAGGCATCAGCACGCGACTGATGACTGTTCGCCTACGACTCGGAAGAGGTAAGTTTGCCACTTTTATAAGCACGTACGGTCCGACCATGTGATATCCTGATGACACGCATGATCAGTTAACAATCAGCTATCCTCTGTGATACGGTCTATCCCGAGGAGCGACCGACTATTTCTGCTGGGTGATTTCAACGCGCGCGTCGGCAGTGATACATCGGTGTGGACATATGTCTACGGTCCGCATGGCATTGGTTCAGCGAATGCGAACGGTGACAGATCGCTCTCACTGTGTGCCACTCACGGCCTGACGATCACGAACACTCGGTTTGCACTGAGTGCGCGTGATATAGCAACTTGGACGCACCCACGGAGTGGTCACGCTCACCTGCTCGACTATGTCATCGTACGTCAGCGTGATATGCGTGAAGTGCGCATGACATGTGTACTGCGCACAGCTGAGTGTGGCACCGATCACACATTGGTTCGGACCAAACTGTTCATATATTTTCGTAAATATGTGTATTGCACTCCCGCCGTGAGTCGGTGTAAATTTAACATTCTATCCCTCGGTACTGGGGCGAAACGTACTGAGCTGGAGAAGGCGATGGCTGCACGACTGTGTAATGTGGACTGCATAGCCACAGTGGGCGACCTGTGGCACCACACTCGCGACCAGGTGATAGCTGCTGCCGAGGAGACCATCAGGCGCACAAACTGTAAGCGGCTTGATTGGTTTGATCACAACCATGCGACGATTGGCGCATTGGTGTCGGAGAAGAATGCAGCATTTGTTGCACATGTCGCAGACCCCAGTGACTTAGGGAACAGTAGTCAGTTTCGCAAACTTCGACGGCGACTGACCCGAGAGCTCCGTCGCATTAAAAATGCATGGTGGACGGAGTAGGCGAAGCAGATGGAATGCTACGCCGAACGCCGCCAACACAAGGAATTCTTTGACTCCTTGAAGGCGCTGTATGGACCGAGATTGGAACCACTGAGGACACTGATCGATGGTAGTTCAGGCGCTACCTGCACACATACTGCAGACATAATGCAGATCTGGCGACAACACTATGACTGTCTCTTGAACAACCGTTCAGAGGCCGACTGGCCTACATTGAACGGCCTCAAGCAGCAGGACGTGAAGACGAGTCTGGCGGACACGCAGACACTGGATGAGACACAGAGAGCACTTGCTCAGCTGCGAAACAGCAAGTGTGCCGGTTCCTGATGGGATCCCGCCTGAAGTGTTGAAACAAGGCGGACCCGCATTGGTAACTGCGCTGCACCACTTGGTATAACGTGTATGAATTGAGGAGGAGGTGCCTGCTGAGCTGAAGGATGCCCTTGTGCTACCACTGCACAAGGGCAAAGGGAGCAAGCAATGTTGCACGAATTATGGTGGTATCAACTTGCTGAGTTGTGTGGGCAAGGTGATTGCCCGAATCCTGCTCAACCGCCTCGTCAGACAGGTTTGGGAACCTTACGTGGCGGAAGAGCACTGTGGATTCCGTTCAGGTGGCAGCACTATAGGTATAGTGTTTGCGGCTCGTCAGCTGCAAAAGAAGTGCAGAGAACGACACCAGCCATTGTACTCGCTTTTTGTTGATTTCACCAAGGCATTTGATACGGTGAACCGCGAGGCATTGTGGCTGGTGTTGGGTAAGTTTGGTTGCCCGCGTAAGTTTGTAAGTTTAATTGAATGTCTGCACAGTGGTATGCGAGCGAGGGTGCAGCTGAGTGGACAGACCGCGGATGACTTTGTAGTTTTCTCTGGTGTGAAGCAAGGCTGTGTCTTAGCTCCTGCCCTGTTTAATATCTATCCTAATGCAATGTTGTCCTGTGCTTTTCCTGCCGCTTGTGCTTACGGTGATCGTGTGGAGCACCGTATTGATGGTGGGTTGCTGAACATCCGTCCTTTCGGTGCGAGAACTATAGTCTGTGAGACAACTATCCGCATGTTGCCGTTTGATGACGACTGTGCATTGTTTTCACACAGCGCGGATGAGTTGCAGCATATGACTAGAGCTCTGGCTTCGACAGCGCCAAAATTCAGCCTCACCATCAACACAAGCCAAACTGTCTGTCTCTTTCAGCCTCCACCGGATGTGCAATCTTCAATATTGCCGCGAATCAGCATTAGTGCTGAAGTATTCGAAACCAGCTCCCGCTTCTGCTACCTTGGGATTGTGATGTCGACTGATCAGTAGATGCACAGTGAGCTTCCTCTCCGCGTGTTGAAGGCAGCGGCGGCATTCGGAAAGCTAGAATGCCGAGTGTGGAACAACCATCAACTTACCATTGGCACGAAGCTGATGGTGTACAAATCCATGGTGCTGTCCGTTCTTCTATACGGTAGTGAAACGTGGACGATGTACCGGTGAGATGTGCGATATCTCGAGCGGTTCCATCAGCAGTGTTTGCGACGGATTTTGCGCATCAATTGGGGAGAGAGAGTTGCTGACACGGAAGTGTTGCGCCGTAGTGGAATGTATGAAGTGGACTGCATACATTTACTGAGACACCTGAGGTGGCTCGGTCATGTGAGCCGTATGGATTCAACGCGGATACCGAAGCAACTATAATATGGTCAGCTAAGTATTGGGAAATGGAACGTGGGAAACCATAGTTACGTTACCATGACATGATTACAGTGAGCCTCTCACGTTCTAATCTTGATTGCAGATCATGGGAATCGTAGGCGGTTGATCGGCGTGCATGGCGCGATCTGATCACGAACGCAGTTGCCGAGGTGCAGAAAGCCCTCATGCATGCAGAGAAGAAGCGGCAAGTGCGGAAGCGGTAAGCACCGATGGGTTGTTCTCCATCGACATCGAGTACATGGTGCTGTAGCACATGCGGTCGCGAGTGCCTGAGACAGGTAGGCCTAGTGAGCCATGAGCGAGGCCACTCGGGAACACTACCGAAGCGATGACGGGTCCTGCAGAGAAGGTAGGCAGAACCAGCGCAGCGTTTGTAGGTATGCTGCATTTGATTTACTAACCGCGTGATTGCATGCTAGGTCTCTTTATTTCAGGTGGTGGGTTTTCAATTTTGTCCTAATGCTTTTCTTTCTCAAATAAATGTCGACCTGTACGCTCTTCTATAAACATGCACAACTCGCTTAAGCCAAGTGTAGTTAATTTCGATAACATTTTCGCGTTTGTGTCCTTTCCGTTCTGACCCCCTGAACTTATCTCGGATCCTTTGTAGACAAGTTATTTCATGTCCTCATTAATTTAAGGTTTTTGTCACGTTTGCTTATGCATTAGTAGCTTTATTTTCCTTGTTAGCTTTCTCTCAAGTGAATGGCTGTTGCTTGATATCACCGATGTGGCTGCGTTTGATGTGCATGCTGACTAGGTGCCTACCTGTCTATTAACCACTTTCTCGTTCATACTGGCTCCAGGAGACAGTTGGTCGTTGCTAAAGGGGACCGGGTGCACGGTCCTTGTGGCCGTGCTAGGATAAAGAGTGGTTCCATGCACTTAGTGTGGAGCGGACTACGGTCCAGCCACCGCCTTGTGTGCGCTAGATTCCCCAAATACAGCGCGCTTGTGTTTGTCAGTCAAGGAGTGTGGGCCGGCTCCGTTGATGAAACGTGGTTCCCATCCACATGCCTCCCAGTCTTATTCTTTCGGGTTTACACTGGATATGGGGTGTGTGGTTGGAGCTGTGGGTGGTGCAGCGCAACCCACCCATGGTCCCTCTGTAGGCGCAGGCGTCTTGTGGTTGGCCACAGTGACAGGCAAATCCGAAACCGGATGCCGCCAACCACATATATATATATATATATACATATATATATATAACGTTTATATATTTAATGTTTATATATATATATATATATATATATATATATAATGTTTAATGTCTTAGAAGGCTTGGGATTTCATGCGACCATGCACCCACGTTTCCGCTGTCATGGCTGCCGCGGCATAGTACGTAAGAGTGTCATAAAACCAAAACAGGAAATACCTCGTCAAAACGAAGACAGCCTTTATGGGAATGTAGTACACAATAACCTTCTTCTCGGTGAATTGCGTGGTTTGCTCATTGAAAGTAGTGAAACAACGAATTAAAAAAGAGGAAACCCGGTAGCTTAAAAAAATAGTATATTGCTCACCAGATTTCTCCAACTGTTGAGTTAAATTAACCACCTCACTGGAATGTAACTCAACCATAAGGAGGGCATCATCAAGCTGAGACTGGACTCGCGTCAACTGGGATTTACAGAAGACTGGATCATCCAATACTGGTTGTTCTGACTGCTCGGGATGCAGCGGAGGAGGAAGGGGGGTAGCTTGCGATGGCAGATCGGGTTTACGACGCGAAGGGTGGGACGGTCCGGAGGAGTCGCTGGTGGTGATTCCATTCACCAAAGGGGGGCATGAGGTACCAGCGTTCAGCGAGAGAGTAAAATTATGTGGGGCGACGTGAAGTCCACTGAGGAGGGAGAGATGACTCGGATAAGGTGAAGAGAAGGAAAAACCTTTAAAAAGGGGGATAAACAATGATTAGTGGGCAACCGGTCAAATCTTAGTTCGGAACGGAATACAACAAAGTCCTATTCTAGCAAATGACAGAAAGACTGACATCAAACAAGTGAGCGACGTGAAGGACAACAGCCATTTCGCATAGTTAAGTGATCAGAAGATTACCAATCTATCTGGAGGTTAAGGTCAGAAGGCAGACGTAGATGTTCAATACAGGTGTAACCAAAGAGGCTCACAGCTCCTATAACTTCCTAGTCGTTTTCGTGTAGAAGGTGAACGGGAAGTACCACCTTTGCGTGGACTATAGAAGGCTGAACGAAACTTCGCTGAATCGTTTTAATCCGGTGAAATCAGTGGCAGATATTTTAGACAGACTGCAGAAGTCAAGGATATTCAGAGTACTAGACATGAGATGTGAATATTGAGAGGGGGTGAACAAACAGAAGGACCGGGGAAAGGAATCGTTTTCAGTTGGCGTTAAGCCGTGTACTTTCCTTTGTATTGTCCTGTCTGATATCCTAGTGATGTGGAGATCTAAGAATGACAAGGAGTTGTTACTTTCAAGTTCTATAGTGAACACTATGTTGTTGTGTGCAGCGTTGAAGTGGGCTAGCAGATCTTCGATGCATACTCGACCATCCGCAACACAAAATATGTCATCAACGTATCGACCGTAGTAAACCAAGTTGTTGATATATTCGTTTAGTTGAGTGTTCTCCAACTTACTCATGAAGACATCGGCGAGTAGCAGTCCTAATGGTGAACCCATAGCTACCCCGTCTAGTTGTCTGTAAAGCGTCACATTGAACTGAAACTGAATGTTCTTAGTGCACGCCAGTATAAGTTGCCTTAAACAGTCATTTGGGATACCGATGTCGATGCTGTGCAATTGGATAAACTCGCAGAGATAGTCAATGGTCTCTTCTAACGGGACGTTGGTGAAAAGTGACGCCATATCTAGCGAGAACATCTTCTGTGTAGCTTGAATGAGTTGTTGCACCGAGTCAAGAAATACGAAATTGTCCCGGAGGCTGTACCTAGCTATGGCTTTCCTGACCGCCGCGAGGAGTATGACAAGCTATTTAGCAGTCAAATGATAGGGAGAGTTGTACATGTCCGGTATCCGTCTCAACGGTAGACCTTGTTTGTGGATCTTAGGTAAGCCATACAGCCTCGGAATCACTGTTCCACTAGGTCTGGCATATTCAAAAGTGTCAGAGTCTATGGTGTTATCTTGTTTCAAACGCCGCAGTGTTGTTATAGTCTTCTCAATTGCCGGCATCCTGTCTTCCTCGTTTTGCACTTTTCGTAATTTCGATGCGTCTCCTAGGATGGTGTTCATATATTATCAATATAATCTGATTTCTTCATCAATCCAATCCCGGGTCCTTTATCCGGTCTAGACAACAAAACATTCTCGTTTTTCTAGAGTTCCTTCAGAGCTTCCAAATGCCTGTCCTTGAGAAGATATTTGTTGGTAGGGGTGTGTACCTCAGGTACTGGTAGCGTGTTTACCAATGTGGATTTGTAATGTTCAGCTGCTAATGCTGAGGATGGTGTTTAGAAACTTGAGAATAGACAGTTTCGAATTGGACTTCCAAGTCTAACTGTTGTAAATTAGTGCAAGGGTAACAGAACTTCGGGCCTAGTGAGAGGACTCCCAATTGTGCTCTATCTACTTGCAAAGAGGAGAAATTGTGCACGTATTTCTCAGGGTCAGGTGGAAATGAGCTACTCGGCTTTTGTGAAGCGATCTGTCGCTGTAATGAGGCTATTTGTACTTCCACTTGGGGAGCCATAATTCGATCAATGAAGGATTCGAAGTGTTTGCATTCCACACGGTCCAATTCACCCCGTGCGTCGAAATAGATTCACCGGTTGCGGTCAAGCTCATCAATCCAAGAAACAACTGTGTCTCACTTGTTCAGAATGTGAGAATCACACACTCGTTAGATGTGGGGTCACTTTTCACCAACGTCCTGTTAGAAGAGACCATTGACTATCTCTGCGAGTTTATCCAATTGCACAGGATCAACATCGGTATCCCAAATGACTGTTTAAGGCAACTTATACTGGCGTGCACTAAGAACATTCAGTTTCAGTTCAATGAGACGCTTTACAGACAACTAGACGGGGTAGCTATGGGTTCACCATTAGGACTGCTACTCGCCGATGTCTTCATGAGTAAGTTGGAGAACACTCAACTAAACGAATATATCAACAACTTGGTTTACTACGGTCGATACGTTGATGACATATTTTGTGTTGCGGATGGTCGAGTATGCATCGAAGATTTGCTAGCCCACTTCAACGCTGCACACAACAACATAGTGTTCACTATAGAACTTGAAAGTAACAACTCCTTGTCATTCTTAAATCTCCACATCACCAGGACATCAGTAAGGACAGTACAAAGGAGAGTACACAGGAAGACAACTTGTAGCGGCCCAGTATACAGATTTCGACAGTTTAGTTCCAATGAGTCAAAAACGAAATCTCGTCCGTTCTCTAACGGAAAGAGCGAGGAAAATATGCACGGATGTGTTGAGTTTAATGCGAAGCGTTCTCGAACAAAATGGTTACCTGGACAAATTCCTCCGGAGGTACATGGAGTCACGAGCACCAAAAGTCCAACCAATCACCGAAATAAAGCGCTTAAGCTACTTATCACTGTCTTTCAAGGGTGATGTGGTAGCAGAATGAACTACGTGAAGGCTGTGCAATGCAACCGCGGGAACCTACTTTGCAGCTGACATCCGTGTCAGCTTCACTTTTACGCCAGTCGTGAGTCAACATCTCAAGGACAGGATACCGAGGTAGAACAATTCCTTCTGTGTGTACCATTTTTCTTGATCATGTCGAGCAAGTTATATTGGAAAAGCAACCAAGCTACTGTCTGAGAGAGTCCGAGGACATTGCACGGCGTGGCTCTACACTGGTGTCAGAAAGACAGTAGTCGGCGCGGTGCTTGGGCATTGGGTCGACTCAAATCACCAAGTACATGTGCGAGAGACATTCCGGCCTATCTAAGGAAAGAAAGAGAAAGAAAGGTGTCAGCTTATACGCCGTAACGGCGCTTCGCTGCCGCGCGACCACCACCAGTCGCGCGCGGGCTGTGTATACCGCGAGGACGCCCACCCCTACGCGGATTCGAACCGGTGACCTTATGGTTGCAAAGCAAACGTGCAGACCACTCGGCCACCGGCCTACCTACAGGAGATCTGGACGCCACACGTAAAGTAAATATCGTACGTCGCTAGCTGTACGCCGTAACGGCGCTTCGCTGCCCCGCGATCACCCCCAGTCGCGCGTGGGCTAAGTGTACCGCGAGAATGCCCGCTCCTACGTGGACCAGACCGGTGATGTTATGGTTGCAAACCATACGCATATACCACTCGGCCACACGCGAGCCCTCCGATGTCTCCTATTAGCGACAGCGAAGGCAATCGCTATTCGGTTCCATAACCCCGACTCATGTGTTCAAAAGAAGTTTATATAGGCTCTACAGCTGCCATGGCATCAAGCTTCCCCATGTAATGACGCCACGCTTAAGCATTCCACTAATGTTGACCTAATCAGAGTCGTCACCTGATCTTATTGCCCGGTCCATTCAGTTCATTGATTCATCGTAGTTAAATACACTGTGTTCGTTTTGTTCCTATTTTTTGCGGTGTATTGGCCTGATGTGAACCACCGAAAACACGATTGTTCACCTAGCAGTCTTTTGCTTCCGATACCCACGGTACTGGACCTGAGATCTGTTATTGGCAGCCAGTGATCAAACAGGAGGATAGGGAAAAGGCAGCGATTTCAGTCGGCATAAAGCCGCACCAATTAAAAATATGCCGTTTGGATTG